GACACAGCCACCCAACAGGAGATTATCCGCCAAGTCAAGTTTAGCCGGTTATCCCCACTCGAGAACTTATCCCAGCAGGCATGAGTAGTCGTCACTGTTGAAGACGCAAACATGACGCGGCTCTAAGCCCATGGGGATATAAGAATCCAAATAAGCTTACTTATGTGACTCGAACGGCGAAGAACGGCGCCTAGTTTCTCACCAGCTGACGACCTAGATTACGACTCCGAGTTGCCGAGGAAGCCGAGCGGGGCTTACCGGGCCTCGGGGCCGGTATCGGGTCCATATTTCCGGCCCGAGGGACCGGGTGCCTACCTACCAGGCAATAGACGGCGTCGAATCATACATCACTCAAACCATAGGTACGAACCGAGAGATGTATTTTTTTTATGCAAGATAGTATATTCAGGCTTATAAAAGCAAATATTAAGAGAGTTCACAACAAACAGCAGCCATTCGCAACAACGCGACAACTGCCCACCTCACACCCCAGGCCTACTCATTCCTGAATCCTGCATTCAAGCGAACCACGCGCAAAGCCAAGCATTCGCAACTAGAACTCCACCTTAGTTGGGGGCGATCCAGGGTCTGCACTTGTTCGCGGCACAGAAGCCGTTGCAGCACGATGCGACGAACTGGCCGTTCTTGTAGCAATCACCATAGATGCCCAGGCAGAAGCCCTGGCAGCTGACCGAGATGATCGGCTGGGGCGGGCCGACGATGATGGCCTGGTCGCCGTTCTGGTTATTGATGGACTGGACGAGCGTCTTTTCGCCGGCGGTGTTGAACTGGCAGTTGGAGTAGGCGAAGTAGTCGTTCGCGTCGATCTTGTCGATGGCGATGTTGTTGTCTGCGCGATCATTGTTTAGCCTCGGTGTTTGTTTACTCAAGTGAGTGTGGTGGTGGTGATTTGTGTGACTTACTTGTGGGGTACGTGTTGCCGTCGGCGGGGATGGCGAGGTCGTAGGAGGCTGGGCCGCCGTGGAAGGTGAGGTGGACGGTTTGCACGTCGTCGCGCTCCTCGAGGGGGTGGCCTAGGGCGGGGAGAACGAGGGCGAGAGCCGTGAGGAGGGTTGCGGCGAACTTCATGTTGGGAGATAGAATGATACAGCGACTGAAATCTGAGGATGGGTTGTGGACGATGGAGGCTCTGGTCTGTGCGATGATGCGATGAGATGTCGAGATGGTGTTATCTTCTGGAGATCATGTCGAGCTTATATAGCCATACAGGCTCGCAAGATCCTGCTCGTTAACACAGCGTAAGGCGTAGAGATCACAAACTCGGTGAAGCGTATGACCCGACCCGTCCATCGCCCTCACGATCCTCGTCGTGCCCCAACGGCAGCACCCAGCCCGCGATCAACACGTCGTCCTCCCTCAACCGTCGACGCCGCATCCATCATGAGAATAGCCAATACGAAATGAACCTGTACACCCCAACGATAATCTATTTTCGTCTCGTCGTGTCTACTCACGAGCAAATTCCGCTTCGTTCAGGTGGTATCCCTATTGCATGCCTCATACCAACTCCGGTTAAAGGCCGATCAACCTCGTGTAGATAGCCAACACCCCGCCAAACGAGCCCAATCGTCCCGCTTGTGGCGTCACTTCGGCCAATGCCGACGTCGCGCGTAAGCCACTACGGCGGAAGCGATCCTGGGGCTGACTGGGACCCTAGCGTGATGTCTTCTACCCTTGGCTTCCGAGGAGCTGAAAAAGATTTACCGTTGAGTGGGCAGCTAGGGATGACATGATAATTGCATGTTCCCAGGACGCTGTTCCCCACGATTTCGCCTGCTGTAGCCTGCCTAGTCGCATGCGTGCATCGACGATCGTCCTGCCAAGTCTGGGGAGGGACGGCACCGGCACATTCGGCGGCGGAAATGTCAGAATCAGATCGCCTCAGGGCTGACGCGGGGCAACGGTTCCTCGTATTTGAATGCCGCGCCCCACGCTATCGCGGGGCGAAAGAGCAGGAAAAATGTATATCTTTCCAGAGGCATGTCTCAGCTCAGGGCTTCTAGCACGTGTAACGTTCGACTTGAGGTGGGAAGAGTGGTTCCGAGTAAGACATTATCGCCGGCGGTGAGCTGGGTACACTTTGAAAGGCCCGACGATGGAGAGTTAAGGGAACAAGTTGTTGTGATGACAGGGAAATTCAACAGAAGGCTACTAGACCTTTCGAGCCGATGATTACGCATCACAACACGTTCAGGCAGAAATCGATTTGTGCTCTTTTCGGGTATTCACAGCTCGGTGATCGCCCTCAGCTTCCGCCTACGTGGGTCTGACATCTGCACCCTGCAGTCAGCTGCGAATCCCCAAATCTCAGTCTCATCCAATGATGACGGAAGAGTCTCAGATGGCGTTCAGCGGGAAACCAGATTACCCGTTGGAGGCTGACTGTGAAGCTTGTTCGGGAGACATATTATCGCAGTCTGACCATCGTTGTCTTGGATCTCCAAGACATCTTATAATTTTGTGCTTCCTCCCTCTTAACGGTCACCCACATGACGACGCCTCGTCGCCCGCTCTACGTCTTGCGCATCTATCGAAACCGTGAGGTACGACCGCACTCATGCAAAGGACATCTCGTGAGGCGGTCCCAAGCCCGCCACCCTCATCCCCTTCGTCGACGGCAAGCAATCATCCCCATCCCACGGATCGCAGTCCGGCTTGCAAACCTTGCCATCCTCCGGCACAACCCCGTGCTCGAAATACTCCTGGATGACCTTCTTCATACACTTGCTCCCCGTCGCGAACGCACAATGGCCAATCGACTCCTGCACCACCACCGTCGACCCGGGATGCCTCGCGCTCATCTTGTACGCATTCCTCAACGGTGTCACGGGGTCCAGCCTCGACGAAAGAAACAACAGCGGCGCCGCCGGCTTCCCCTCCACCACGGCAGGGTCGTGCGCCGGCGTGCTGAACGGGCCCGTGTACCGCCACTTCGGCCGGACATCCCACGCCGAGCAGGCGACGCGGATCTGCGACCAGTACCCCGCGAACGTGGGCGACTGGCCAACCAGCTCAGCAACGTACGCGGAGAACGCCGCCAGTGTCAAGTTCGTGTGGTCCTCGGCGTCGCCGCACAGGATGCTCTGGCCGCCGTCGCCGAAGGTGGAGGGCAGCGCGGTGCCGTTGGGCGCGGCGCAGGCCTGGTCGAGCTCGGGGATGGACTCGACGGCGTCGTTGAGGAGGAGGGTGTAGTTGCCGTCCACGGCCGCGCTGAGCTTTTCTGCGAGGGGGACGAACTTGCGGTAGGGGTCGTAGAGGGGTCTCTTGAAGGCGTCGACGACGTCGTAGCCCGTGAGGATGTGGGTTAGCTTGCCGTCGAGCACGGAGATGGGCTCGTCGTCGAGGCGCTTGACGAGGTCTGACACGCGTGATCGGATGTCCTCCCATTTCGTGTCTGACTGGCGGTAGAGGGCGCACTTTGATTCTACGGCGAAGCAGGTCTTGTAGAATTGTTCGAGAAGCTCCTCGGTGTCTTGAAGGTTTGTCCTCCAGCCCTGTCAGGGGAGGTCAGCAATCTTACTCCCACTCATCACTATGAGACGCGATTGACTCACCCCTTCGACGTAGTCATCGGCATCCACGATGCCATCAACGATGACTCTGCCGACGCGACCGGGATACATTGATGCGAAAGTGTTTCCAAGGAGACTGCCGTACGAAAACCCAAAGTACTGCAGCCGCAATGGTCCCTTCTTCTCACGAGCTTTCAGCGGCTTCTGCTCATCACCATCCCCACTGATCCGGGCGGCGGCAGCCTCTTCCTCACGCAGCTCTTGGATCTTATCCAGAATGTGAACCATGTCCCTAACGGTCGACGCCGTCGTCGCAAACGGGATAATCGACCCATTCACCGCGCTCTGCGAGCAAAGCTTCCCATACCCCTGGACCCTAGCCCACTGCCTCCTCAACGCATCTGGACCGGCACTCATCGGCCCCACGGCCAGCCTCTGAATCATGTCTGTGCCGCGCGCCAGGCTGTCCTCGCCATAACAATCCGGCCGCGGGGTAGTGAACTGCACGCCGCGCGGGTCCCAGCTGAGGATCTCGTACTTCCTGCGGTCGGAGTCGGCGGTCTCCTGGTGGGCGTAGCCTTCTGAGAGCATGAGCTCGACGCCGGAGCCACCGGGCCCGCCTGGATTTGTGAAGATGGTGCCGCCGAACGCCGGGTCCGAGTCGGGCACTTTGGCTGGGCGCTTGATGATGGCGAGAGTGACGTTGTACGGGTTGGATGCGTCAAGCCAGTCGAGAGGCACGATGAGGCGCGTGCAGTTGTACTCGGAGTAGCAGGGGTGGTAGGAGAGCTTGTGCGTGGGCGTGATGGTGTCCCAGTCGAAGTCGTGCAGCTTGTGTTTGCTGGCGGCGCTTGCGGCGCCGAGGAGGCCGGCTAAGGCGAGGTGGGTGAGCCAGCCCATGTTGAGGGTTGTTGGTTTTCGATCAATGAAATGAGCGCCGTGAAATGTGGACTGTTTTTGATGAGATTTCAGCGTAATTTGATGAAGAAGGGATGAGATGCGCAAGAGGGAGAATGCCAATTCACGCGGGCGCTTCGCTTGGCTTCGGGTGGCTGCCGCGGCTGTGTGAGAGTGATCGATCGATTTCCCCAACCACGTTGCTCATGCAAGCCTGGGTTTTATCTTATCGCCCTGCCGTTACACTGTCAGTCAGCCGAATTGAGTTTGAGATAGTCGGTGGTGTTGAGATAAAGAAGGGGGAACATGTGGTTTTCAAGTAGGTGTTCGATGTCAGCAAGGAACAAAATGATCCCGACATAATCATTCAGGCACGTAAGGATCTTACGCCGCATGGTCGCGTCCACATCGGCCAAGCGAAATCAGGAAGGTGCTTAAGCATGTAAGAATTGGCGACTCTCGTCATTGCATATGAATCTCAACTATGAAATGACTAGTCTTCTTTCATCAACCAAGAGCAAAACTCGCAACGCTGTGAAAATAAATACACTCGAGCTAGCATCGCCATCATCACTGCTGCTTGGCGTCGCCAACACGAATGATCAATGATCCGACGCCTGTTCCGCTCGCCCACTGGCGATGCGCGTCCTGCACATCCTCCAGATTCCACACCTTCTTAATGGGCACTCTGATCTTGCCCTCGCCCAGCAAGCCAAACATGGCCTTCAGGTTCGGCTCAAACGTCGCATCATCGCGGGTGATGTAGTAAAACCACGTTCGCTTGGGACAGAACGGCACCATGCCGCGCGCCAGCAGCTTCATCGTGGGCACCACCGTCGACCGCGGCGCCTTACCGTCCCCGCCGAGCGAGTTCAAGTTACCCCCAAACCCGATCAGCATGCCGCTCTTGGACAAAATCGTCCAGCTCTCGTCCCAGCTCTCGAAGCCGAGCGGGTCGAAGACGGCATCCGCGCCGCCCAACTCCTTCATCGCCGCCATCCAATTCTTGTCCGTGTACACGAACGGGTGGCCGCCCTCGGCGCGGACGGCGGCGTGGTTGCGCTCCGACGCGGTGCCGTACACCTCGGCGCCCTGCAGCTGGCACAGCTTCATCAGCGCGAACCCGACGGCCCCGCTGACGCCGTGGACGAAGACGCGCTGGCCCTTGGCGACCTTGGCGTGCTCGTGCACCATGGCGTAGGCGGTGCCCCAGTCGAGCACGAGCGCGGTCGCCTGCTGCAGGTCGAGCCCGTTGGGCACGCGGACGAGGTACTTCTCGGGGATGTTGACGAGCTCCGCCTCGGCGTCGTACACGGTCATGGCGGCGACGGTGTCGCCCGGGTAGAACTTGGAGGCGCCGGGGCCGTTGGTCTTGACGGTGCCGACGAGGCAGTAGCCCGGGGTCAGCGGGGCCGATTTCTGGAGCGGGTAGACGCCCTTGCGCATGTTGATGTCGGCGCCGGAGAAGCCGGAGTAGATGGTGGCGATCTGGACGTGGTCGGCGGCGGGGCCGTCGATGGTGTCTCGGATGACCTTGACCTTGGACTCGTCGCCGAACTCGGTGATGACGGCCTTGCGGATGGTGGTGGATGCCATTGTGAGTGTGTTGGCCGGTGGTGTGCTGTGTCGGTCTTGAGATGGTGATCGATTGAGATGATGTTGCTTCAAGTCTGATGCTTTTACTTGCTAATGATTCTAATGATCCAGTATCGCAAAGACACGACTGCGAAGTCCTTCTCTTTATACTTCAATCCCCAACACGCCGTTCACATACAGCTAGGCAGATGTCGGATGGTGATTCCATCGTCCGCTCCCAACGCGCCGTTTGACACTACCAACCAACGTCTCAAACAACGCCTCGCAAGGCGTCTTTAGCCCGACCCAGCGCCATCTTGGCGCAGGAGCGCAGGGATTGACGCCACGATGAGCTTGATTGCGCCGCACGCCGGAGCGACGTTTTGGTGGTGATCCGCGTGTTGGAGCTGTGTTGGCTGGCTATGTTCCCAGGTTGGCCATGTCCGCTGTGCCGTGTGGCTGCAGACAACAAACGGGGCCCGACAGGCACTGCAAATGAGGAGTTGCGCCGACTGGGAGGATTCGCGTCTTGAGGGGCGCGCTTCGCTCTTTAGCCGGGAGGACTTTGGGCCGCCTCGCTTCGCGCTTGGGGTCCCCAAGCAATTTCGACAGCGCCTCCCCCTCGTTGTCCGGATGCAGTAAAGTCTCTCTTCCATCAAGCCACGCACGCAGGACCGGTGCAATGTTGGACCACCTGTGACGAGTACAGGGCTGAACACTAGCGATGAACGGGCCGTGGCGTTTGCTGCTGGATGACTGGCGTTTGGGAATAAGCTTCGTGGTGGCGTCGTCAAACGGCGTCAATGTTTGACCGCTGAAGCCACTGGGATGAACTGTAGCGGATAAACACTTGAAAATGTGCCAAAAGTTCCAATCAGTCAGCTGTGAAATTTGGTACATGAAATTTGGGCTTCATTGTCAATTTTACGCCGACAACTAGGCGTATTGGACGTCTTCCAAGGTCAGCATTTGTCACTCAAGGGTTGAGTAACCTGTTTAGCGAGGTCTAGGAAGGCTAGGCACCTGTACACCCGGCTTGTTGGTACCCAACTTCGAGCAGTATGCACACCGATCATGATCACCTTAGGAACATCACATTATGTCCTCGATAATACTTATTACCACCCAATGCTCTTAATTCTTCCATCCAGATTTGAATTTTTGCCCTCCTAACTCATGTGGAGTGAATAACGCAATCGTTCAATGTTCTGTGTCGTCTTGCCCCTATCCCATGTCCTGCAGCTCTTTCATCGTACCTTAGTAGGGATCATCTAACCACATCTCCCTCAGAAGCAACGATATGGGACAAGTGGATATGGTAGTGAATCAAAAATGGAACAAAATCTCAGTCAATAGCTAATCCGGAGTTATTGATTCCAGTAATATCACCGGCAGTCGACAGCATGAAAGCTCATGGCCGGACGTCGTACACAAGATCATAGACGTCCATGACTGATGTTGAACTTCGACCTCTTAGTACCAAAGGAGATGATACTAAGCGTCTCTCGGTGGTCACGAGACTAGAGGAGGGAATTAGGTTTATTTCTCATATGTAAATTTTCGCGAACTCTACCGTAACTTGATGTTCCGCCACCTTCCAGTATTGCTGTTTGCCGCAGGCCGCCAGCTCTACTTAGCAAATATTACACTACTCTGATATCCAACCTGTTCCAACGACATCACACAGCCCTGCAGCGAAACAACGACGACTCACGGAAAGTAGCCCTCATCATCAAAATTCTTCGGGTGCGATGGCTCCGGCCCCGGTGTCAGACGACGTTCTTTGTCTTCCTCCGAAGAGTATAGATACCAGGGGTTCCTTGGGCCACTCGCTTGCTTTGCGGCCTCCCATCTCGCGTTGTCTGTTGCGCTGATGAAACACATCCACTCGTCCATCTGTTCGTTCATGACGAGACTGAGCGGATCACCGGCGAGCCAACACCACTCATCCCAGTCATGGTCGTGATCGTCTGGCCGGTTGAAAAGCTCCTTTGGCATGCGAGGTGTGTATTCGTCCTTCCATATCTCCTTGTCAGGTCGTAGGTAACTCCTCGACCAGCGAGTCGGATGCGGCCAAGGCGTATGTTCCCAGTCGTGGCTCCCGGTATAGGGGAGCAACTTGACTCCGTGCTCATCGGCGCGGCGAAGGACGTCTTCGCGGTAGTGGGGGTTCATTACCTGGACAGCCATCTCCAGCTGCTGCTGCGTCGGTTCCGTGCCGGCTGTGAGCTCGTTGTACAATGGCTGGTAGCTGGAGGCGATGCACGCCAGAGTCACCTGGTGCTTGAGGTCAGGTCGTCGCCACACGAGCTCGCGAAGTGTGGTCTCGTGCGGGTGATGCGGCCACCAGAACAACAACGGAAGCTTTTCACCATCTGTTTCGCTATCGATACGCGAGAGATCCCCATTCATGATGGAGCGCGCGTGAATAGCCTGCCAAACCTCGTCGCTATAGCTGGTCTCAGGGCGGACGATATCATCGACACAAGTGACGAGCCATCGTGCGAAGGGAGTATGGTGGTACACCCCGCGAAGGACGGCTGTCAGCTCGTTAGGGACCAACACAGGCCGCCTCAGTCGCGAATAGCGTTCAAAGTTGCCGTCCCATGCGGCCAGAAGAATAAGTATGTCTTTGTTGAGAGCTGGAAGGTCGCGAGGCAGCGGCATATAGGTGAGCTCGGTGAAGCGGGCCTCGAGTGTTGAGCACTCGGGTGTGGGCCACGATGATGTTCCGGCATTCTTGTCTTCTTGTATGTCGAAATAGTGACTGTTAGTGCGGGTGACCTTGAACTTCTTCTTGGGTACTGGGCGTTCGAGTGAGGACCGAACAGCAGTATCGCCATTAAGGCAGGCCCCAGCCCTGGGATTCTCTAGTTCGACGGTTCGCGTGTAGTCATTCATGACGGCGTATCTCACGGGTTGGTTGACGATAGCGTCGAATATGTCCACATGGCCACTGTCTCGGGCTTCCTCGGCGATGGACACATCTGGCAGGAGATCAAGTTCGTCGTAAAGCGCCTTGTATCCCGCAACAGCACAAGCACGCCCGACATGGTAACGCATATCTGGGTAGCGTTGAGCCAGCGATCTGTACGTGTCTTCTGTGGCGAGGTCGGGATACCATATGCAGTACGGCTTCTCTGCCTCGGAAGACATCTGCGGGACCTCATTGCTCATAATGAGACGCGCATTGCGGGCTCTGGTAAATTCTCTTCCCCTTTCCAAGCAGAGCTGTGTAATTTCTGTTGATCTCGCAAAGTTCTCATGGTGTCGGATTCCACGAACAATGTAGCAATCGTCTACGTCAACGAAGTCTGCCGGGAGTTCCTTCCCATTAAAGGCGGCCAAGTCGATCGCATTGTAGTCTTTGGCGGGCGTCTCATCGCCTGTGTGGCTGGCTGTTTTCGATGGCGAGGTAGACATTTGTCTGAGGGAAGGGGGCAAATGCCGTAAAGTGAAGGGCAGAAGAGCACAGCCTGTCCGATATTGGCTACATGGGGATTGCCCGCAAAATGTCATCGCACGCTGTGTCGAGGATGTGCAGCGCGCCAGTCTCGACACGGCGAAGCGACGACAGATAGAGAAGGACATCTTTCTTATGCCCGAATGTATGTTTTCATGCCAATATATACAGCTCAAAAGTGACCAAGAGTAAGAAAAGTATATCGTATTGTTTAGTTGAAAGAATGAGGTTGGTGATCAGTAGCGGCAGGACACGTTAGGAGGGAGGTTCGACCCTTTTGAACTAAAAGCGAGAGCGCCATTGCCTGCTAAAAGTCCATATACCCCTGCTTATTTACAGGGGTAATGCATGACCTGATGGGCCGAACTACCCTAGTCGGAAGTCGACTGTCGAGGTACTGCACAGTCACTGAAAGGTACCATGAAAAGAGACAACCTTTATTTCCTGTGCAATTAATTACTACTATTGAAAGCGATAGTAGCGATAGTAGCGACAGCGGCGATGAGGACGAGGACGAGGACGAGGACGACTATAACGATAACGACGACAACAATAGAAGCGACGACGACGACGACGACGACGACGACGGTGGTGAAGGATTGTCAATAGTGGGATTGAATGCCCCCGGCAGATTAGCTTGTTGCCTCATCATCTCACAATCTTCAGTGCCACTGAATAAAGCACAACTCTCCTAGACCGAAACTTTGCTTTAGCTGACCTATCTAATGTCTAGGGCTCTAGGCACAAACATTTACAATCTTTTGGATCTTTGCGTCCTGGGCAACGAAACTTTGGCCAAACAGCGAGATCTTTTCCCCGGAAAGAGCCCTTCTCGCCGCCGCCGCTTCAGCGATGGCCTGTGAGGACGTTCGCTCCGACGCGCCGCCATAGGGCCCAATGAGAAGCGATAGGACGGCAAAAGGCGCCGATACAGGGTCGCTGACGATACTCTCAATGGTAAGGGCAGCGTTCCCGACCTCCCCAATAAGAGTTGCGATACGAGCAACCATCGCAGCTCCCCCGAACGCAGCTCCAACGATCTCACCTGCGAATGGTAAGACAAATAGAACGATAGAAAGAATCTCTAGGATGAGGGCCTTCTTCTCTCTTTCACGCTGCTCGGCGCCAATACTCTTGATCTGCTTCATGTTCTCAATCACGCCCTCGAGCATCAGCACGGGCATAGCAACAGCCGTCACCATGTCACCTGTATCCTCAGCGTAGCCCAGCCCTGCCATCACGTACATATTCAAGACGCGCATGGATAAGTCGCTGATCGACGGCATCGCCGCCTCGATAACGTCCTTGGGGTTTGACACCTTGACGTTGTTGCTGCTGACCGGGATACCCTTTTTGTAGAGAAGCTGCTTGCGACAGCTAATCTTGGGTGTTTTGGGGCGCCAATCTGGCGCGTCGGCGCATTCGCTGTCTGTTGTCTGCTGCCAGTTGCCAAAGGAAATCCAGTCCTTCTCGATGCCAAGATCTTTTTCGACGGCGGCGTAGAAGCCATCCGCGTCAGACAAAGTATACGTCACTGACCAAGACGCTTGCTGTTGCCAGAATTTGTCCGCCGGCGGGCAAGGACCTTCTCTTGTCCTGGACTGGACGGTCCAGGAGCACGTAAAAAACTTGTTGCCTGCCCCGGTGTCGAAGTCCATGTATGCTGTGAGCTGGGGGTTGATTGACTCCTTAACATAGTCGACGTAGTAGCCGAAAACGGAATCGTAGCCACTGAGAGCGTCCTTGTAGTCCGCCTGAAAGCTGTCAAGAGAGTCGGAAAGTATGCGAAGGGCCCAAAGGTTTCGGCAGACAGGGTTGTAGGTATCGTCATTCATGACCTTGACCAAATCATCGAGAGTTTGGGGCCTAACACTCGGATCGCACGTAGTGTCGGCGGAAAGGATGCTGGGATAGACGTCGTCCTCTTCGATGCTGTACTCTGGGACAAAGTAGCCAGCCTGCCAGAGATCTGTTGCCTGGCCCAAGTCTGGATCAGCGCAGAGTGACGGGCAGTACCCACGCGCGCAAGTGAATGCGCATAAACCGTGGTCATCGGCGGCACCGTCTAGGGTCCTGGCATTGCTTTTGCTCGTAGGCTCCATAAGATTGAGCGCTCCCTGTGCAGAACAGTAGCACACGGCGATTGGACAGAAGCCGTGAGAGCAGGCAAAAGAACAAAGGTCATCAAAATAAGGTGACGAGCTCATGCCCTGCCCACGGGTGCAGGTTCCTGGAAGGAAAGGCGACACGGAGGAAATGACGGTTGGATGCTCAACTGTGTCACAGTAGGAGCCTGGGCAGAAGCCCCAGTTGCACGCGTTCTGGCAGAGTCCCTGGTAGTCGCTCGTCTTTCCGGCCGCTGGGTAGGCCATTATCCCTTTCCACTTGGGCACCTCGACCTGAGCCCCCAACTTCGTGCAATGACAGGCACCCTTGGGGCAGTAGCCGTAGCCACATGTGAACTCGCAGAGAGTTGCAAAGCCAGGCAGGGGTCCTGTGCCCTCGATGCAGACCTGGTCTGTACGAGAATGCGGTTTGGCCGAAGCGGAGCCGGCAGCAACAGCGCTGCCAACCCAGGCATTCCAATTGGTGTAGCCATTGGTCTTGCTGCAGTCCGTGGTGATGGCAATTCCAGTGACCTCGGCAATGGTCGAGCCCCCGCGGACCACACGAACATGAACATCGCCAGTTTGGCTATAATACCAGGCATTGCCATGATAGAGACCGACGCCACCCTCGGGAGTCATTGACCAAGATGCCTTTTGCTGAACTCCGCCGACGGTAACTTCGATGGATGCAGAAGATGTAAGGAGCGCCGTGAAGTATATTGCGTCTTTGGCTACATTCCAGGGGTGGAACTCTAGCTGTAGCTGCGATGCCGTATTGCCGGAAGTTCCACCGTCTTTACAACTCGTTGCTGGGTTGGGCCGGTACCAGGTGACTAGACGTTCTGAATCGACCGTCGTCGTGTTATGCTTATACATGTCGATGGTGAATGGAAGGGTGTCCCGCCAACCATCATGTGGCAGAACAAAGTTGAAGGGTGCTTTTCCGATCGTAAAGGCCTCGAGAGACTTGTCCCGTACAGGTCCAATATGGTGCGACTCGCCATAATCGTTCCAAGATATGATTTGGACAAATTCGGGGCGCCACCAGAGGATCTGCTGCCATCGATCGAACCAGAGGTCATCCCCTCGCCACATCCAGTTCTTGTTGTACCCTGGAAGGTTGGTATAAAACCAGGGAGACGCCGCCATCATGTATGGCTTACCTCCGAGGTACTGGAAATAAGAGGCATCTACATAGGTGTCCATATTTTGGTCACCCCACGGCCAGGCTGCCCAACTGAACAGGCCATCGGCAACGCCATTCGCTTTGGCCATTGCTGGCTTCGCGCCAAGGGACGACCAATCGGGGATGAAAAAGCAACCGGTAGCTGCCTTAATCTCGACCCAGTCGTCGGCATTATCAGGGCCCTCGAACGTTGACACAAATGGTTTGCCCTGGTAATGAAAGTATGTACCAGAGCTACCATATTGGTTGATAAAGCCCTGAACAACGCTCTTGGGCCATGGTCCGTTCCCAGCGTAGTCAAATGAGAAGAAGAGCTGAAACCCTAGTGAAGAGGCGTGTTGAAACGCATCAGCAACAGACATCTCATTCGTTGGGTCTCCATAAGCCATGTTGAGTGCGAAAGCATCAATATGAGCCGCTTTGGCCTTGGCAATGTCATCGAGCCAGTCATCGGATGTATAGTTGGCAGAGTTGGTGATCATGAAGTGGGCAAAGACAGCCTGGGCTTGAGCCAGTCGTGCCCAAGCAAAGATGCTAGCCAGAAGAGATAAAAATCTCATTGTGAAAGCCAGCAAGGTGGATGTGAACAAATGGAGATACGATCTTGATAGATTTGAGTATGTCAGAAGAAAATGACGGCAGGAACGAGGCTACTTGAGCGGTGGAAATGCGTTCTTCTGAACGTGTCCAGCATTGGAGTGTAACCAAGATTTTCTGCCCCAAAGATGACATTCTGCTGCAATTTGATCCATGTCCGTTTCTACTCAGCCTAGCCTAATGTTGGCGTGAGGCCGTGTAAGCGGATCCCAACGTCGAACTATCTTCCATTGGCCCGCATAAGCGGCATCAACGGAGGGAGCGGGGCTAGAATACCATCTTCAAGGTCCCCAAGGAAACATCAGTCTTCTGTCCATCCTCCAATAGGTTGGTGCAATCAAACATGCATAGGATGGTTTGGACCGTCTTCCAACAACCAACAGTCACTTGCCACCGCGCGGTTGTGCCCGCAACCGGAACATCCTTGTCTGCTCAGGCCATCTGTCAACCTGGGCTCCACTGTCCAACCCGCCTTAGCCGCCTGGGCAATCTTGAAATCTCTCTGGTTCAGGGGTTCACGAAGCCTTGTTAGATAGACCCTTGTCAAGGCACAGTCAAGCTTTAGACCCCTGTTGGAAGAAGTCTCTCACATCCGACATCTCATGGGTCAAATGAGCCAATAACTTGTAGTGTGCTCACGGCTGGCCTGCCAGATATGTACAATCAGCCAGACCTCCGCTTGACCATGCAGTCTGCAATCTATGTTGGTTCTTGTCTTGAGCCTGGAACCTCCGCAACATGTGACAAGGCTATTACCCCCGCTGCAGGCTGCAGCGACTCATTATACCGGCCCAAATCCGCGGATTGCAAGAGAAGTGCTTGATTAGCGGCTCCGCTCAGGCAGAAGCCTCACCTGCGGCGTGGACGAAGTTTTCTAGCCTGAATTGTACGTGAGCGGACCCTGGGTCGATGAATCAAGTTCCTTCGCTCTCACGTTGAGCAAAGCCCAGCCGGCTCACGGCTCATTTCCGAACAAAGTCATCGCAGAACAGATCGGTTTTGGTAGGTGTCTAATGGATTCTAGGTAGCGGCAAGAGCCCCTCTATGTCGTGCGATGCGGTCTCATGTGCATCTATTCACAGGACGGACGGAGATGATGCCTGTTTCTCCATTCCGAGTATGTCGGCTAATGGATGCCTATTTCGCAACACCACCTTCGGGATCAATCACAGTTGAAGCAAAGCATTCTCCTTCTGAAGCTAGGTCGGCTGCTTGTACTGTCCATGACTACCAGAACTTCAGGAAGGTAGGGGCGGGGGTCTTGTTGGAGGGCTTTCCCCTCTTTTGTTCCTCCTCTTTGGATGTGGAGTTCCGCTATGGTCATAGAACTTCCGTTGAACTTGGCTTTTCCATGAGATCTTTTCTCGCAAGTCTCGTCAGGGAAATATCTTCTCTCTTAAGCATGTACATCTGCTTCAAATCCCCCTCTCTACGCACACACCTACGAACTCATCTTCTATCTTCTCGAGAGTCTCTATCGCTTTTTGCTCTCAGCACTCTCCACGTCATCAGGTCTTACTTAGCACGAAGACATCATGAAGTTCCTCGGTCTCTTACTACTTTTGTTTGGCCAGCTAGCTGTCGCTGCCGGTCCGTCTCACGCCTTTGAGACGGTCTTATACTACATTGCCTACAGGCTGGAATGGAAGATGTACGGGCAGTCTCAAAGGCTGCTGTACCCTGTCAAGTCTCCCCTCCTCGAAGGCGATCTCAAGCCGTTTCCACAAAACGTCGGCCCAGATGGCAACATGCTGCCATTCCCCGACTTCGTCTGCAGATACATGAACAGAGACGACAAAACAGGAGCCAAATGCAACGTCGAACTGGACCTCGACAATCCCGAGCGAACAGGAGAGTTGTTACTGAAGGAGGGAAATAACGGCGCTGCGAAGATCCCAGATATGCGGGGGGTTCCCAAAGACAAAATGAGGGAGATCATAGAGGAGAATGATGCGGAAATCACAGACGACTTGAAGTACTACAACAGCTTTACCGAAGACCTCGCCCAAACATTCAATGCTGCCGCCAAGAAATACGGTACCAGCACTTCCAGCGAGGTTTACAAGGAACTTGCAGCTGTTGAGCCTCTTGTGGATCGTATTCTCAAGGTGCGGTCACAAGATATGCAGAAAAAGCGCAACATCCGTCAGACTTTTGTGCAAGCCTTTTTCCAAGACGGCGGTGCTTTCGATGGCTATAAAGGTTCGATAGACCCTGCGGATATGCTGAAGAATGCAAAACTCTGGCAAGCAGTCAAGTTAAAGCTCGGAATGGAGAAGTTACCAGATGACGATCCTAAGATCATGAAAGGTTTGAAGGACTGGGTGGATGGGATAGGTAAGACATACACGGTCAAACCGAAGCCTCTATTTGGGGTGTATTCATATGGCCACATCTACGCTCTGAAGGGTTGGGAGGGGATGAAACAAAATCTTCAGTGTCAACTAAAAAGCAAGAAGTAAATTTTCTATGTAGTATAAGGTAGTATTGTTATGATGTACAGTAGATCTTGTTCATGCCTCGTAATGTTTCACAGATTACCATGTCATGCCTCCTATAATAATTTATTGTGGATACTAGGAAAGATTCTGAAAAGTGCAAACATCTTTGACCAAGGTAGACAAAAGGTTGATTCAGGGTCAGCTTCCTGTCGCACGTCTTTGACTCCAGAGAAATGTTGACTCATTGAATGGATTTGCAAAGGGCTCGACCCATCTGTAGAAGCCCAAGACTGAACCTCGGTGTTGCGCCCCATTTGCCTCATATTTCCCATCGGTCTTTCTTGCGGTTGGAGATTCATCCGCCGGATGAATCGACACACCTGCTGCAGCGAGAAAGCCCCTGGCCCTGCCTTGCAATGTTTGCGTCCCCACTTAGAACCAACAGAAATTCAATCCCAGTCGAACCAGGCAGTGGTCAATTTCGTCCAACAGGGGTAGCGTGCCTACCTGAACTCTGCAGCAACCATAATTGCTATCACAAAGGGCAGGTCGTATCCGGCGTAGGGCGTTTTGCCCAGCTGCTCGTTAAGATCCATGTTCAGCATGCGAACCAACAACGCCGAAGACATCGCCGCAGGCGTGAAGTTGAAGGAAGTACTCAGTTGTTACTCCAGGATACATTCCTTAGCTTACCAGGAGCCCTGGCTGTCCTTAGCCTCGGGAGGGGCCCGTTGAAGATCATGTGCTGCACTATGCTATCGATCGCGGGCCGAAGAGGGACTTTTGTCTCGGCTGCAAAGGGATGAACCACCGAGATTCTTGGCAACGGATATCGGCAGTGACTCTGTCAAAACAAACGAGGCATTCTCCTAAACTCAGACACGAATGCATATTGAAGCGAACATGATGATGCTTGCGGTACATGGCTCGTGTCTTACTTGGTGTGTTCCTTCTGTTCTTTTGTCCCGCATCTTGCTCCAAATCATCCTGAAAGACCACCTACCAACCCAGCTTTTACACTAAGGATGAGAATCCCGAAAATAAGCAAGGCCTCAAAGCCTGTGTTGATCTGGCAGGCCGTGAAGTTGCACCAACCATAGGCCCTGATTTCGTTCCATAACATGACGCAGAGCCACTTCTACGTTCTCGAGGGCTAAAAGGAATGGAGACTTATTTGCAATTCAAAATGAATGGCAAGATACTTTACCAGGAAGCAGACTTGTACATGTATACCCAGACAGTTCCTATTGGGTTCACTCACAGAGAGTCTCTTCGCTTAGAACACAGATACCAAGCCTTCTCAATCCTCTTTTCTTGACATTTCAACCATCCTAGTGCTCTTCTCCAAGGTGTTCCTCATTCTTCGCCACCGGCCGCTGATTTCCTTGTTATTTTGCTACTCGCTGATTGGCAAGCTTCATCCTCGCCCAGCCTACGCCCTTCAGGGACGCTGCTTATGGCTTGCGTGATAACAGCAATTTTGTAACTTGTTGTTATACGCACCCACTCAATGTGGGTTATCGCAAGGCCCCCATCCCCTGCCTGTTGGTCTCATTCCAGTCTTTTGACGAGCCTTCCGCTGTTGCAGTCATGACAGGCGACAAAGAAACCCTCCCTCGTCGACCTCGGTACCCCTGGCATTGAAAAGAACCAACAGACTGCAGACACTACTTGGTTGGGGAGATAAGCTTTAGTGGTCAGGGATCGGATGGGGCAGTTTCTCGAATAGGAAAATGCTTTGCTTGAACAGTGCAGCCGACATGTGTTACCAATTTGCTATCCACAATCATTAGTGGCAATCGTTATGTTGCACTCGGCGCGGGGCGCTGCGTCGTGCCGCACTTTGAACGCATGCAGTGGCGGGGCGTCAGGGCCAACAACAACATGAAGCACATCACCTTGTGTATTTACAGGGCTAAATCATCGTATGGGTTTTCAAAGATCCAGGTCTCGCTTAGCGGGGCGCCTAAAGCTCGATAACCCCGGCCCGCAGACCCGTTGGCGATGTTAAATTGCGCTTTTAGCCTTGCCAGGTGAGAGGTCCCCCTCCCACCCCGGTAGCCAGGGGTCTTTTGTAATTTTGCAAGGCATCATCGTGTTCTGTGAAAACAGCCATGTCCGGACTTCTTGGCAGCAAACGTCGGCAACATTGTTGCCGACGTAGGCGGGGGGCGCTTGAACAAGCTCGGTTGATAGCTTCAATCATGGACCTTTACATGGCTTGGAGCCTGGTGTATGAATTTTGCTGCTCTTGTACCCTCGGCCTGAGCCTTAACCTTACTGACCACACTTATTTCCCTCGCTAGCCAAGTCTCGAGAAAAGGGAAAAAACCAGAAGCATTTCTTTCTCCTTTTGACATTCTCATGCTTTCGTAAAGTAGAGGCATTCATCATGACTTACTACTCTCTTTTGGCTTTACTGGCGGCGACCCTCGGGGCCGCCGACGACTTTATGCCATATGTTTACTTCGAGAACCAAGAGTTTCTCGCCAACGGCTCCAATCTTGCTCGCATGGCCTGGAGCGAGATAGAAGCGGCCTTTCAGCATCCCGCTCACGCCGATGTCGCGACATTCAGCGGCCTCGACTGGACGAAGCCCTACCCAGGCTCGTCGGTCGACGGCTTCGAAGCCCACCTCCGCATTGCCAACGATGTCCCATGGCCGGACTCCTTTGCCAAAAATCAGTCAACCGAGGTCACGGCCCTCACCTTTGGTCTACCTTCCGCCCTGATGGACGGAGGAAAGGGTTTGCCTCTGCCGATGGACCCGTCTTGGTTCATTTGCCGTCACTACTTTGTTAGTGCTCGACCGGATCCTACCGAACAAATCGATCATGGTTGTGGTTTTCTGTCTGAGGAGTGTCGCGCCGATATGGAGACAAGTCTTACGGGGAACTGGTTCCAGGAGGACCCAGATGTTCCTTGCTCGGCACTGATTCTCGATCCTGTGCCTGTTAGCTGCCAGGACACACTCGGTCTTGTTCGAGGTGATGTTATCGGTGAGCATGCCGTCTATTGTGCCATTTCTACTGCAATCATAATTCTAACCTCTCGGATTCAAAGCTTTGAACTCGGAATCCCTGGAAGATGCTTCTACCGCCACGGCCTACGTCACAGACCAGATCACAGACTGGTCGTGGATGATTGGCACTGGTGCTATCGACGAAGGCAATACGACCGCCTACTATGACGCGTCAAATCGGACCTTCATCATTGGTACTGTATTCGGATACAGCTCCAGCGTTGATGAGGCCAAGAGGCAGACTCCAAAGTTGTCCCTTGCCTGTCTCCGTCCTGAGTGGGTTCCTCCTTCAACCCCCAACGTCACTTCCGCTGTCCCGCCATACTCCTACCCACCTCAGACAACAACATCCGCCACGACGACTACTGCCCAATCATCCCAGCCAGCGACCACCGCGCCATCCGGTCCTGCCTGTGTTTCTGGAACGGTATCACCTTACCGCACTAGCGGCGACTTCAAGGAGCTGTGCGAGTTCAGCTGCACTTATGACTATTGTCCTCCGACGGCGTGCCAGTGTCTTGAGTACGCTGACACAGCCAAGGCTAGTCCCCCTGTCGTAGACTCTGACGGTTGTCCCCTTGACGGCGTCACTGACGATGACTATGTACATTTGTGCAGTTTTGCGTGCAGCCACGGGTCCTGTCCAGAGGCAACATGCAAGCTCTGCTGATCTGTGTTGACTCGACGCTTTATTAATGAAGAGACTAGCAGATAATTTCACTTCGACCTGTGTCTGAGTAATAGTAAACATAGAAGAACAATGAAAACACATGCATGCACCATTGAAGACGTGAAACATGCGAATACTGTGAGATCAGAATTTAATCCAAGTGGAATCAGCAACTTTTCTACTCAGACCTAAGCAAAGTAATTATGATTCGACCACATGAACCATTTTCGTAGTTTGATACAGAAGCACCACACCAGCAGGGTTTCAACAGTCAACTCATAGTTCAGATCAACTGAAATGAATTTTGCGGTTGTGATATGACTATCAGAAGCCCTGATCCCAGCTTGTGCCTTTGGCTCCGCAATGGTCTCGAGGAAGACGACTCCAAGCTGGCCGTCTTAGGCATATCACTTCGGCAAGTATCAGATGACAGAGCATTAGCCATATGTGGTGAGATGATAATGTGTCCAATGTCCAATCTTATTATGAGGAATATCTATCGTTGACATCTAGGTAGTATTACGGTCATGATTCCGGACTGAAGATAGTTAGTTCCTATATTCCATCATCTTTGTGATGCTTAGGGATTGTACACTACTGGTAGTTAGTGAGGGACCGTAGGACAAGTTTACGATACACATTTGCGAGACGATTATTTGTATACGCCCGCTTCTTAATTGTGAGAAGATCATATACCGGCGTTCGATCTACAGCCCATTTTATTCTGATATCATATTGAATTTGAGACGTTAGATACTCTTTCCTAGGAGGTAAGCTTCAATGTCCACTCTCTTAGATCTTATCCACTTAATAGCAATATCATGATCAACTAAACTTCTGTTCGCTACCTTAGACAGGATGTAGACATTTATGATATCGACCGCGAACTCGCCATGCTTCGTCATCATATAGTCTAACTTCTCTCTCTCGTACGGCCCCTCAACACCTGATTCTCAAAAACCTAACTGTGAGGTTGGAACATTTCCAAGTTTCATCTTTGAATTCCACGGTACAGCTCTGGATTGTCCTTACTCTCGCAACTTGTGGCCAAACTTTAAGAACTTCAAAATGCTCGTCGGCGCTCGCAGATCGTCCTTTTCGATCAATTTGATGTCGAATTCGAACCTAGCAACTGAGTGCCTCCGTGCTGCCCGCTCCCACGCGATGGACACCTTAGAATCTCGCGTTTTGACGCTCCAAGTGGCCCCCACTGTGAGTAAGCCGATGCCTTCAATAAGCTCATACCTGAAGAAAAAGCCCTCGTGTATACCAGGGGCCCATACTTCCATAGCCTGTAAGCATGGCATATAAAAGGCTGCTTTAGCAGCGGCCAACAAGACTTGGTCAACCTTTGCTGCATTCGCAGCTAGACCCTGGGCTTGACAGGTAAGGACTAGGTATTTCAGTGTTGATCTGGATGATATCCCGAGACTCCATGTTTTGCTAGCGGCGTCATGGAAGCATCGTAGAAGGCTTGTTGCGTCTGTTGCATGGGAAATTGCCAGTGCTTCCAGTTTGAAGCTAGCAATTGTCGCTTCAGAAGTCAGTTCCTTATTCGAAGTCTTAGAATAAAGTGTGTTTTCATGTAGTCTCCGGGACTGTGTTTCCCACAATGTAAGCGTGCGCAGGCTGGTGAAGCGTGTTGCATAGCGGAGCAAGGAGGCGTTCGCGTGCTCTCGTTGGCTCTGATCTTCCTCGTCCGCACCCCGCCAAGGCTCATAATTAACGTCTCGCAGACTCGGAAGTTTGCTGAGTATACTCCTCAAGGAGTAAGACGACAGGCTTCGTAAACATTTCTGACTGATACTGAGTTTCCTGATCACAGTAACCTCTGGAAGGCCAGATCTACCGAGTTGGAGTTCAAGAAGCTGGCCTAGAAGTCGCTTCTTGGCATTCAGTCTCGAGTATCCAGGCGACTGGGCGATGACCTGGCGCTCATGATCTCGAAAAGATGTCTGATGATGCTTGGGATCGCTCGGAGAGCTAGCGCTGAGCTCTAGGATGATATCGGCTTCTGGACCTCCTGCCTGCCCAGGCCAACTAGACAGCACATGAAAAAGGCTTAGAAGACTGTTGGAGAAAGTCCTATTGTTATCTGCCTTGGTCTCCGCGCTTTCTTCGTGGCCGCATTGCTGGCATGTGTACTCTTGGAAGCTCACATGAAGTGAAATCTTTCTGACCCAAACTTTCTTCGAGTACGTGGTAAACGCTTTGAAGTACTTCATATCAAACGGCATGTCTGACCTGAGCTTTATTGTTCTCCAGAGCCGAGAGGTGAAAAACTTGTACCAATCCATCGATACTGTAGACCAGCGTGTAAAAGGACTCTTCCCAGCAGTTGGTCCTAGCTGCCATAGTTCTTCTAGGACCATGAGCTTAAGCTCTAATGGAAGATGAATCCACGGGAACGGCGCTGTGCTTTGAGATGCCATGGCTTAGGCACTCAAAACTGCTTAATAGTTCAATTCAGAGTCGAAGAGTCGGATGCTTTGAAAGGTGAGTTAGGTATGGATGCAAAGTGAATGAGGTAGGGAATGAATCATTGACTGTAGATTTAACCTGTGCGTAAGCAACTGCTAATCTAGTTATTCGATTTTCTTTTCCCTCATCAAGGTAGCATGAGTCATTTCTAAAAACCAAGCATGGTTTTCATCTAGGTCCACCTTTCAGACACAGCAACCTCTTTGAACGTTTCATCAGGGAACTCCGTAATGAAACTCCCGCCCTCGCGGAAACTCGGGGGGGGGGGGGGGGGGGGGGGGGGATTACGGACAACGACGACGACGAGAGATACCGAGCCTGTTTTACGGAGTGTCAATGCAGGCATTGCCGCGCGACAAAGTGATGCCCAGATAGGCTCCAGAGATGGTATCAAATGATATGGAAACTTTCTCCCGTGTGATGGGGTTAGCAGGTAGTTTAGTGACCTTCCAAGTTTGGGGAAGTAGTGCATTGGGTGGCAGGAACTTCGGTAAAAGGTATGCCACCAACGTTTTGCTGTGCCGCTCGGCCGTTCGCCCCTTTTGGTTGGGTAAGCTGACGGCGAAGGAGTGCAAGATTTGGACTCAACCTGCAAGAAGTATGGGAAATCGAATCGAGCGACGATACGCATTACCAGACTAGGTAAGTAAGAACTAGTAGCTCCGTTGCTGAACCCTCTCTGCATGTCTGTAGTGTGGAATTCAACTAACTATCCGGGGTTTTCCTTAACGAAACCCTGTCGCAGCTGCCAAGATCTGCACCAGACAAGCTTCATAATAAGCATTTTTCTCGGCTCGGCAAGATCCACGGGTGCCTGCTGCTCACCCCTGGTAAGGTGGACCAAGGTTAGCCTAGGTTGGCAGCTCGGCAGGTTAATAGACCGACATTCCCACCCTCCCTCCGTTGGAATGCTTCCAGCTGATGTCGGACAAAAGCGAGAGTGATAAGAAAAGCCGCTAACAAATAGAGAAAATGATGTCCTTGAGCTATCCAATGTAGGTTATCTATAATTGCTGAACTTTTCTCTCAGTCGCAGAAGTTGCAAAGGCTGATTGGCAATCGTGATCAAGGAACTTTGTTGGAGAACACTGATCCAGCTTGGCCAACAGAAGTCATACATGAACGCAGATGATGGCCAGTCTCTCATTTGGCTGCCTAAACCTCCCTGGTCATGTTGTCAGATGTCACGGCCTAGCCGCTCCGAGGATTGCAAGGGCTAGCCCTGCGGGGTGAGGCATTTTCAACCTCTTGCGGAAAGAGGAAAGCCGTATTTCAACTTCATCAGAGGACAGTAGCTTTTGCCGTCCATATCACAAGTCATTCAGAGCCCGTGCCGTAGGAAAGCATCGCACCTCAACCTCAATTTGGCACTTAGACCCCAATCTCACTCCCAGGACTCAATACACGTTTGGTTTGACGGTAAAAGTCACGGTGGCGAGGTTGTTACTGAGCTTCGAAAAAGATCTTCCGTGTCTTGGCAATGTAATCACATCCATCACGTCCAACATTGGTATCTCGTGTGCGGAACAATAGGCAAAGACATTTTGCTCCAAGGATTTTCTCACGCGGCTAAGCTGATATGGACTTTGCCCGGAATCGTGTCGTGACAAGGTTTGAGCGAAGTAGTTATAAACCGAGGAACAGCTTTCTGCGACATGAAGAATCGAATATGGTAGCTGCCTTCGTAGTTCCTTGTCGAGACTCACTGGCAATCAGCAATCATGAGGTTTCCAATCCTCACATCTTTGGCGGTTCTCGCAAGCGCTTGCCATGTGCAAGCCAAAGCGGTGTTTGCCCATTTCATGGTACGATACGCCAGGTGAACTGTCATTTCCTTAGAACACTACTGACTGTAAATAGGTTGGAAACACTGGGAGATATTCTACTGCCACCTGGCGTGACGACATCCGTCTCGCTCAAGAGGCCCACATTGACGGATTCGCCCTTAACATTGCCTACGGCGAGCGCATGAACGCTGCGTCGCTAGAGAACGTCTTTGAGGTAGCCAGCGACATGGGCTTCAAGCTCATCTTTTCCTTCGACTACGCCGGCGGGGGCCCATGGCCTAAGGATGACGTTCTCAACCTATTGAAGAAGTACGCCACCAGGCCTGAATACTTCAAGCATAGCGACGGGACACCGCTTGTGTCCACTTTCGAAGGCCCCGAACAGGCTGCAGATTGGGTCGACATCAAGCGCTCCTTTCCCTGCTTCTTTATGCCCGATTGGTCCTCAAAGGGAGCCAAGAGGGCAGCAGAACTGGCAGGTGGAGTTGCTGATGGTCTCTTCAACTGGGCTGCCTGGCCTTGGGGAAACACTAACATGGATACATATGTGGATGCTTCATATTACCAGTATTTGAGGGTGGATGGGGATAACAGTAAGCCATACATGATGCCTGCGTCGCCGTGGTTCTACACGAATCTCCCCGGCTATAACAAAAATTGGCTGTGGCGCGGAGACGACCTGTGGCACGACCGCTGGATCCAGATTGTTTACAATCAGCCAGAGTATGTTTCTCTCTCGTTGGTTTCTCCCATGCTTGTTTCCGGACGGCAGCTAACATAGTTGGTCTCGAAGCTACGTTGAAATCATTTCCTGGAATGACTACGGAGAATCCCATCATATCGGTCCTCTTCGTCCTAACGCCATGGACGCCTTTGTCACGGGTAGAGCCCCTTTCAATTTCGCGAGAGACATGCCCCACGATGGTTGGAGGATGACACTTCCCTTCTGGATCGATTACTACAAGAACGGCAAAGCGACTGTGACCCAGGAGGGCATCATGGGATGGTTCAGAACAACCCCTGCAGCCACGTGCAGCGATGGCGAGACATCCGGTAATACCGCCAGCCAGTTGCAGCTAGAGTTCTCGCCGGCCGAAGTCATGCAAGACAGGATCTTCTTTTCGGCTGTGCTTGGCTCGCATGCAGATGTTACTGTCAACGTCGGGGGAACCTCACAGGCCGGAACTTGGACGTCCGTCCCGGACGGGGGCATCGGAGTCTACCACGGAAGCGTGCCATTTCAGGGCAGGGGTTCGGTATCCATCTCTCTTCATAGAGGCGGTGCGAACATCGCCACTATCGACGGTGGTTCCATTACAGACAACTGCGCAGAACGCGGTCTCACCAACTGGAATGCGTGGGTTGGGAGTGCGATGGCTGCAGGCTCCATCTCCGCCACACCGGCACTATCACGCGACGAGCAGAAATGCATCAAAGGCACTGGCGCGACTGGTTTCACCAAGCTCTGCGAATTTACCTGCAAGTACGGCTACTGCCCCGTCTCAGCATGTCAGTGTCTCGCCATCGGCGCCCCAATCTCTGAACCTCCTACCACAGGCCCGGCTGGTTTCCCAGCTGCGGGTAAGAGTGAGAGCTACACGGGTCTCTGCGGGTGGTCATGCCCTCGCGGTTTTTGCCCTTCGGAATCTTGCAGCACAAGCAAGCAACCTATCAAAAATCCCACTGTCTCCGAGTTTCTCCCTCCCGCATGTACCGGGGGTAGTTCGGACAACGGCCTCAGCGGGTTGTGTCAATTCGCTTGCAACTTTGGGTTCTGTCCCCGGGGCGTCTGCACGTGTTCTGACAAGGGCGGGCTGAACGAACCACCGCCGATCAAGGATACGACTGGCGACCCCGTGAATGAGATCAAGGACTTTGGGCTGTGCCAGTTTGCTTGTTCGCGCGGGTACTGTCCCTCAGACGCATGCCGCCTGGACTATCCTATAGACGAAGGAGACAGGTGCGATGTCAGAGACAACACGTGGCGTGAATGGACAATGCCAGCCATTCAGCATGCTAGATACCCAATGCCGCCCACGAACATGCACTACATCACAATCGTCAACCTCACGCCGTACACCTTCCGCTATATAAAGGACCGCTCCAACTACTACCAGATTGCTGCTGACTTTGACGATATCCCGCCGGGACAGTCACGTCAGAATAAGGCCCGGTGGGCAACCTCAGGCTCAAGCAGAGCTGACGACAACGGCGAGGCGTACTTTGAAGTCGCAGGCACGAACCATGAATTCCGCATCAGGTGCACAACACATTATCCCGCTGACAGGCCTATACGGTTCGTGGTTGACCTGAACGGCTGGGGACTAGGCGTCAAGGAATACGAGGTTCCAGAAACCGAAGTGTCTATCACGTTCGTGATTACAGGAAGCGAGAGCTACGGGTACCATCATTCTCTTACACTGGATAGCTCACCTGTGGCTTGGATGGATTCCATCAAGGAACATATTAAGGGAAGGCTCGTGAAGCACGTCATCATGCCGGGGGCTCATGATGCTGGAATGAGTAGGATTGGGAAGTACAAATGGGGCGGTAAGCATACCTTGACACGTGTTTGGATAGTTGCTGTTCTAACCTCGTTTCCTACAGGC